CATTTGATTGAATCAAATCAATCAGTAATATAAGGTGAGAAGAAAGTACATTCGGAAATAATAATAATGATAATAATAATAATAGTAATAATAATGATATTAGTGTTATCAATCAATCAATCAGTCAAATACATTTAGATGGGAAGGGAAGGGAATGGAAATAAGATGAGTGTTTTTATAGTAAAATAAATAAATAACTTGTTGTTAGAATGTTATAATGTGTATGTGAATTGAATTGAATTGCAATAGAATACAATTTAAGATTATTTATTATCCTGCAGTGATTTGACTGACTGATTGGTGGTCATAATATATCTCTGGTACTAGCTGGCGATGGTGATGAGTGGCTTCTAACGCATTTGTTGCGTTGTGTTGTGTTGTGTTTGGTGTGTAGACTCGATGAACCAGGCAGGATTCAGTAAGTAATCAATCTCTCTCTCCATCTCCACCTACCTATATTACTTCTTAGAATTTTAACCCTCTTCCTCACACCCCATTCTGTTGTTGTGTGTTAATGCATGCAGTGCAATATAGTGCTGAGTTATTTTTTCTAAATTACTTATCTTTGTAGGTGGGATCAATCATTCTAACCTTGGTTAAATTCTTATGTTGTGACAGGCAATAGGACTACTCCTGCTTGCCCTACTAGTTTGACTCACCTCTGTAGGTAGTTGACCTCACTCACAGTCATTGCAAGGTATTTTGTAAATTATATTATTTTGTCTAACTTGGTCCACCTGGTCCTTTAGCATTCAGAGCTTATCCTCTCTGAGTGAGTTTGTAGGTGTAATTGCCACCGACCTAACTCCTACCTTATTGAGAATCCTACTACGTAGGGAGGGTGTTAGATGTGCCCTCCCTCCTGGTATAGTAAAACTACTGTAGATGCCTTATATTCTTTCTTATTTATGTTATCATTATTAGTTTCACCATTATTATCCCTTATTATGAATGGGATAATCAACGTGACTATCTCTGATTCCCATACGCAGCTTAGTATCTGTGTTAACGCAGATAACAGTTCAGCATCACCATGCTTAAACGCTTCTGGAGTCACTCCATATTAGGTCCCTTTGCTCTACCTCGTTTCAGACTAGGGATAACTTTTTCAACCTAAGTTACAGTTAGAGTACCGTTGTCTGCATCTCATATAGGTATCTGTTGGTATCTCTGGGAAAACTGAGCTTTGCTGCTCCTCAAAGTTTATTCCACTTTCGATGTTCTGTCCTAAGTTGTAATTAAAACATCGTCGTTCTCGGACATTGTTTCGCTTATGACCGGTTTTTTTGCAACCTGTCTCCCGAATGAGTTTAAATACTTCTCTTATATTACCTATAGCTGATGCTTTTGTTGTCTACTTGTGGTCAGTTTGCATTTTAGTAGCTTTGCTTACTCGTCATGTCCGGAGCCCTTGAGTCTTTCATTCAGGATGAAGCTGTAAGGATCCACTTTCATTTAATAACCTTTGTTTTCAGACAATCAACACTCATTACCACCGTTCCTACAGTTGACTGGATATTATTTTGTCAGACTTCTTTTATTTTCTAAAATTTTATTCCTTTACGTTCCCAATGGAACATAGGACGGCTTCAAGCTAGAGGCTTGAAGTTTCGGTAGCAGTGGTGTTTATTTTTACAGGATGGGGTTGCTGGCCTCATGCCCAACCTGCCCTCTTTACCAGTTTTATTACTGGCTTAGCGAGCGAGGTAAAGGAGTGCGTCGGTGGCCGGCGGGGGTTCGAACCCGGAACCACCTGCGTGGTTGGCGACTTCTTGAGGATGGGTGTATTAGTGTCAATCTCAGAGAAGTGTTCAGTTATTTATTCACTCAGTATCGAATTTTTGTTTTCATGAAGTTGTGGACGTATTGACTTCTTAACTGCCTGCCTGTTTCCTATGTTCATTCAGTTGTAGCCATATGCATGACCATGCCCTAGATTGTGTTCAGAGTCTACACAGGTTTTCCAAAAAGAGTCATAGTCTGTTAAGGATTCTCTTTGTCGATATCTTGTATCCAATGTGACTTATTTGTATCCACTGTGGATTCGAAGTCGCTAGGTTAAACAATATCTCTTCTTATATATGTCCAAACCAAATTCACTTTTAACATTATAAATTATTTAAATTAATCCCAGCGGCGCTCAAATTATTTCAGGAAGTTCGTAACACCTACGGCCTGGAAACCTATAATTCACTTTTAACAGTTTGAAAAAATTTTGGCATTGGGTGGTATATGATATTCATTATAATAAAGGTTTTTTTGTATTTCCCAATGAATGAAAAATAAAAGCGATATTCTACTCAACATCAGCACGATATCAGAGTTTTCTTCAAAACATCAGACACGCACATACACTACAAAGCAACCTTGTCCATATAAAAGAACAAATCCCTAAGGATTCTCTATCTAATTGTTTCTATAAAATGAAATGCTTGGAATGTGATAGGATAATATGCATTGAACAAACATCACTAGAGAGAAATCAAGGTAATCAGAAGAAATGAATACCGTAGAGCCGCATCTGCTCGACCACCGAGGAATAAATCGAGTTGAACTAGAAGACCTTGAAAAATCATCAACCATAGGTCGCCTACACGCTACGCTACGCTATAGAATCAATCAGGTCACAAAATTGATTTTGACAATATTGAAATCATCATCCAGAAATAATTTCAGAAATCGCAAAGAATGTCTCATATGATCAGAAGGACTTCACATCGAATGGAATCCAAATTGTCTGAACTGAATAGGAATGATGGACTAAAATTGAATTTAACCTGGTTACAACACCCACGATTTCGCGCATGAAATGACAAAATCAACACGAATGTGATAAGCAATTTCATTATGTAAACACATGCTGCTTTTGCATAACTTGACAACGCAAAATGCCCCCATGCTGATGCACGATGATTAAGTTGTTGTATATAAGCTGAGATATTGTAAATTCTTCTGGTTTAATATTACTATTTTGAATAAAGCTATTAGCAGCAGCATTAAATAGCAAAACGTCAGTTAGAAACGACATCAATATCGTTTTGTTTTTCATTCATTGGGAAATACAAAAAAATAAATTTTATTATGATGGATATCTTTTCTTATGTTTGACTCTAATACTAATATTCAAGCCCTCTAGTTCTCTAGAGAAAGCTCTGGTGAATGTCAAAGATATGGTTCCCAAAATGTCACATAGTAAATGTGTCTATAGGATAAAGTGTTTAGAATGTGAAGCTTTTCACACATGGTAAAGGAGAGCAGTAGATAGCTGAAAGTCAGAGTGAATGAATGTTGACTGGCTGTGGACGAAACATCCCAACCTAGAAATGATGAAGTAGCATTCAAAAGTCTAGAGAAAAGATCAGCTATAGCAGCAATGCATGCTATCTATGCACAGCAGACATAACACTGATTTCGACAAAATTCGAAATTCTAGGAAAACTCTTTCATTCAACACATGAAGAAAGGTTGACCTCTGAAGCCTTGCACATTCGAAACATATCGAATGTCGCAATAAATAGGAGAGAAGAGGGAGGACTTATCACCTATCTACATGGCAAACTCTAATGAAACAAGACAGATGAGAAAACAGCAAAAACCTGTACGATCCCTATGAAAATATTATCATGTTTATCATATGTGAACTGACGTCTTTTCAATGTGACAAGTAACATACACTCATACAGTCATATAGACAAAGATGCACAATGACAATTTGACATTAGTCATTACAAATGTATGATGAGTGTTTATGCATTTTTCTATTGGTACAAATGTCTATCGACAACTGACCTACCTTCATAAGAACTGACTTCAATTTATGTAATTTTTGACTACATATATTTTGATGATTAATAAAATTCGAATAATCCTGATGCTGCTGCTATAAAAGACGCTGTGGTGGCTTTCACAGTGAAACGATCAGAAAACAGATCTTGCTTTGATTTTATCTTAAACACGCTGGGATTATTTTAAATAATTTATGGCAAAGTTGAACAATAGCGTCCCACGGGATGCGAAATGCACGAGTGACCTTCAGTCGACCAGTCATAAAAATGAGGAATTTTCTCACAAAATGTGACTTATATTTACAAGAAAATGTATGAAAACATACATTAAACAGGGTATCTTTCTCTGACATGACTTAAAAATACCTCCCAGTTATAGTGAGAAGTATCAGTTGCTAAGTTAAACTAATTTCCGTACATGTGTATTCACCGAGGTGACTGAAGATGAGTTGTTTTTGTGAATCTTTTATCTCCCTTATCCTCATATGCGGTCTTCCCCGAAAGTTCTCGGTTGAATTACTATGGTTTCCAGTAAGAGGATCGACAACTGCCTTCTGGGGAAATGTGGATAATACAACAAATTAAAATAAATAACATCAACTCTACATCTATACCTAGTCGTAACCCTAACCTTAATCCTCACCTTAACCCTAGACTTAACACTAATCCTAATTACAAACCTTATCCTAACCGTAAACCTAATCCTAATTATGACCTTGATCCTAACCCTAACCCAATACAGGTGTCGTTAGCCAACGACTAGGATGCGTTCAAAGTCATTGGAGCGTTTTCACTCCTGGGACGCTATCATTGAACTTCGCCTAATTTATAATGAATCAATCTAACTCGGCGCTCAAATTATTATTATTCCAGGAAATTCTTAACATCTACGGTCTGGAAACTTATAATACTAGTTAATATTGACTAGATTCTGTCAGTGGTACTCTGAAAGAGGCTTTTGTTATCAGACACAAGTCAAATATATATATATGTAGGGTGACATGGAGGAGGTCATGTGAAGAGGAGATGAAAGCATGTGGGCAGACGTGGGGCCAGGTGAAAACGTTGGCAGATAACCGAACGCAGTGGAGACGTGCGGCTGAAGCCCTATGTTCCTCTAGGAATTAAAAGAAAATAATAATAATATATATATTTAATGTGTAATCCTAACAATCACAATCTACTTACTGCGATATCGCTTATTTCTGTTTTTAGACGAATGATCAATGTAAGCCTATTGGATCAACTAATGCAATGCAGAATTGCATAGAGACAAGTGATTTATTTCGAAATGGCCGGCTACAATCGTCTAAACATCATGAGATGAAAATAATTGATGCTATAACAAGTCGTGATTTCTCTGCTTTAGCAGAAGCCACCATGCGTGAAAGTAATCAACTTCATGCTGTGTGTTTGGATACTTGGCCTCCATGTGTCTATTTAAATCATATAAGTCATTGTCTGATGGGATTTGTTCATCAGATCAATAAACACTTTATGAAGACTGTTGTAAGTTTCATAGATTCTCATTTATTTATTTATTATTTATTATTATTATGTGAATAGTATTCAAGGATTGCAAAGGAGACTGAATAACTGACGAATTATCATCGATTTTTGTTTTGATATAGGAATAGAACTTGTGCACTGTGGTGGTCGAGTATAACACCATTGTGGGTAAAATTTTTATTTTGATAAAGTGTCACATACACAGTGTGTGTTTGTTATACAGTAATATTTACTGATGATGACCACACGCTTCGAGCACAATGTTTATCATTGCTACTACTGCTCATAATCATAATCATCATATCAAGGCACACACACACACTCACACACCACTCACTTTCTTGCTTCGTCGTTTATATACATGCATAAGTAAACATTGATGATGATTAGACAACATTTGATTGAATAAAATCAATCAGTAATATAAGATGAGAAGAAAGTACATTCGGAAATAATAATAATAATGATATTAGTGTTATCAATCAATCAATCAGTCAAATACATTTAGATGATGGGAAGGGAATGGAAATAAGATGAGTGTTTTTATAGTAAAATAAATAAATAACTTGTTGTTAGAATGTTATAATGTGTATGTGAATTGAATTGAATTGAAATAGAATACAATTTAAGATTATTCATTATCCTCCTCCTCTGATTTGACTGACTGACTGACTGGTGGTAATAATATCTTGCGTATCTCTGGTATTAGTTGGCGACGATGATGAGTCACTTCTATTGCATGTATTGTGTTGTGTTTGGTGTGTAGACTCGATGAACCAGACAGGATTCAGTAAGCAATCAATCTCTCTCTCTCTCACTGTCTCCACCTACCTATATAACATTTTAGAATTTTGACACTATCCCACCTATCCGACTGTGTGTTAATGCATGCAGTGCTGTCTTCTGGAATACTTATCTTCGTCGGTGGGATCAATCATTCTAACCTTAGCTAAATTCTTATGTTGTGACAGGCAATCTGACTACTCCTGCCTGCTCTACTAGTTTGACTCACCGATGTAGGTAGTTGACTCAACTCACAGTCATTGTAAGGTGTTTTGTAAATTATATTATTTTGTTTAAATGGGTCAACCTACAGGGTCCTTTAGCCTATCTACAGAGTTTGTCCTATCTGAGTGAGTGAGTTTGTAGGTTTGAATGCCACCACCACCCTAATTCCTGCTTTATTGAAAATCCTACTACGTAGGGAGGGTGTCGGATGTCCCCTTCCTCCTTATATGGTGAAACTGTACTTTCACCACTGTTTCTATTTGGATTTTGACATTTTCTGATCTTCCTAATGAATTTTATAGGATATTTAGTTATTTAACACCAACCAGCCATTATTCTACCTGTTTCATTTCGTCATTTAGCTGTTTTTTGTTGTACTACTTAGTAATGTTTTTGCTCGGTTTGTTTGACACTTAACTAAGCCTGCCTTCACAGACAGATGACAGTAACAATAGCACCACCGAGCCTCAAAGACAAAAGAGAAGTGTAGACACTGTTAAGAGAGCGTTTACTATCTCGAAACAGCAGTCAACAAAAGGTTGACAGCGCTTAAATATATATGTTTAAATAACGTTGGGAAGGACTACTGCTGTTCATCAATTAAAACATTGAACAACCAATAGGATTTCGAAGGTCATAAGTAGGGTGAGAGAAAATCAGGGGTCATAAAACAATAAGTGTGGGGGCGGGGTGAGAGAAATACAAACAGGCATATAAGATGGACATTTCGAAAATTAGGTCTCTATCTATCAATCAGACCCGTTGTTAATCACCTATTGCCGTTTTATCAAAGTTTTCAACATTGACATAACATTCTGCATAACACAGACATCATTAGGTGCGACAATGAAGATGTAGTCGAAGATGTTATTATTTTTTCTTTCTTTTCAAACACTCTTTCAGCAGAATTATATGTAGTTGTAGAGCAGAGCATGGCGTACTACTTCTGTATAACCTTTCTTGTACGCCATGTTGTGTCATTCTATGTATGGAGTTTACGCTTGTGGGAAGCTTTACTGGATGTTGTTGTTATTGGTTTGTATGTATTCACACCCCTCAGATCGTGATATTTTACCTGCTTCTGTCACGTGAATGCAGACAAAACACGTAGTGTTCAGAGAAGAGTCTCTTTTTTTCTGCGGTGACGGCAAATTCATTTTATTAGCTGTACAATCGCAAATACATACATACATATAGGTTATTTAGTATGTATGTTTACATTAAGTTTGTCAAACAAAAATACAATTGGTTATGGTTATTTTAACTAAAGGCGGTGGGTGGAGTTCGAGAACTAGTAAGTTTGGGTGGAGTTATGTAATACAAAGTGGTCAAGAAAATTGGATGTAATGGAGATTTGTAGCGCAGGTGGGTGATTTTGATGTAGTTGTGTTCTCTGAGCTGGAGGGTTTATTTACGAAGCTTTCATCACAATCCTACTAGGCAACATCTTCAGCACATACTTTAATTTCTATTGAAGTGAGCTTTTAGATTTCTCTACGAGTTTATTAGTCATCCCTCCTGGTGATCTTGAACAGGTCCAGCTCAGAGAACACAACTACATCAAAATTGGGTGTTAATGAAACTAGGGTAAAATCAATGGTGATGAGTTGTCACAAACAGTTGTTAAAAAGGAGTTATGTAGTAATATGAATAGTTTGTTGATTGAGTTGTACTCAGGATGCACATATAGGAACAAAGTAGAAAATACCAAATTACGTAAGAGTTCTAAATGAATATACAAGAATTATTAACAATTGATGAAATAAGCAAGCAAACAAACAAAATTAAGTCATCAAAAATCAACAAAGTTGTTACCATGATAGCAGAAGTGGTTGAGTAGTTCTTTTTTTGCATGCACATCTCCGATTTTTTCTAAGTGAATGTCTAGAGCTTCAACAATACGAAGAAGACGAAACCGTATTGCCTTTGGTAGGTTATATTCTTGCTTGATTGACTGACTTTGTAGATTACTTTGAAGCAGGAAGCGTTTGTTGTTGGGATGGAATGATCAGTGTGTTCACCAGGTGTTCAATTATATTCCACTGCTTACAGCACCACTACTATCCCCTTTTCGCAACCATGGTGTGGATAGTGTTCTTGAAATGCCCTTAGGACAGGATACGCGTCGAACAACCGATGTACCTGGCTGGCTCCACAGCACCAGGTGAACTGATATATGCACATAGAAGTGGTCAGATGCGGGATCTTATCCTTAAGGCTCCTGCAGATCAGTGGACGATTGGAGAACACTGTCACATTAGAGTGCGATCATTTTGAGCAAATAATCCTCTCAATATATATATACTAAGATGGTGAACATAAATTGTGCAATTTGTCATAATGGTAATAGTAATAATAATGTTTCTATCAGTAATAAAAATGAAAAAGTGAGGCGATCTGTGATTACGCGAATAACGAAAAACCGCATGATTAAACAGACAACTGTGTTCAGGTAGAAGTAGTCAATAAAGGGTAAGAAAAACAAATGAACCGATTAAGTAGTGCTAGATTGTAAGGAAAGTAAATAAAATACCTTTTTAATGAAGATTGTGATAAGATTAAGGGATGATTTGAGAGAGGTTGAAAATATAATTAAGGGGTGGTGGTGGAGAAGGTATCAGTTGGTTATGTCGTAATAGGCCAACAAGGGAGGGATAATGGCTGTACGAACTTCCTTTGAATGCATAGTTTAGGGGCTTAATAGTTCGAAAGCCTATCGAGTCAACAGTGTGCAGTTGACGAATACAAAGTCTATTGGAAAGATTCGGTGGTATACAATGAATTACCCTGAAAGCTCTCGTTTTCTCCACTACATGACCACTATCAATTAAATGTGACAAAATTAAGCTACCGATTGTTTGTGTCTGTCCTTTGCCAAAGCACCACAATGGAAGATGCTTAGTGGTGACACGCTGGCTAAGCTGTCTAGTAGTACGACCCGACATAACTGTCACCGCAGATACAGTTGAACCGATAAACGCTCACAGATGTGGCGAAACTATCTAGCTTATCCTTCGTTCGTGTCCCAATTGTTCGTCGGTTAGGGAATGACAAACATAAGTTTGCTGTGTAAAACGTTCTTCGTATACTCCTGGAAAGTCTCCAGAATAAAATCTCACTTGATAAGTCATCATTAAATTGTAACTTAATAAGCAGATGTTTTTTACGTGCAGTCATAGTCTCAGGTTTTTTCTCTAATATTTTCATATGTTTTTAAAAAAATGACACTACTCGGATAGCCAGCCCATCTCCGTCAAGGAATCGTGAATATATTTCTGACTCGACAGCACCAAGTGAACTGATATATGCACATAGAATTGGTCAGATGCGGGATCTTATCCTTAAGGCTTCTGCAGATCAATGGGCTACTGGAGAACACTGTCACATTAGTCTGTGAAATCATTTAGCGCAAATAAACGTCACAATACATATATATATATATATATATATATATGCAAGACTGATGATGAATTGTGTTATGTGAGAGTGTATGCCCAGTAACTGGATTGTTTCCTCTAACTTTTTGTGAGCTGTTCACCAAAACATTTCAATAAACTGGAATAATGAATACTCCTCATTTCTCTTTCTCTCTCTCTCTCTCCTTATTTCACACAGGTTGCCTATACCTTCGATGCTGGTCCAAATGCATTTCTACTGATGGAAGTCAACAATATTCCAGTGATTCTCAGTTATCTCATTGAATGTTTTGGTTGTACACCACCACCAACAACAACAACCACAGCAGCAGCATCCAGTGACTCTTCCGCTGATGCTGTTAAAAGCAGAAACTCGGAAAAACAGCTAAAGATAACCGGAATTTCCTACACGCCGTCAAATGATCCACTTGATCCGGTAAGTGTTGTTTTAATATTCTTTATAATAAATGTTTTTTGTATTTCCCAATGAATGAAAAACAAAAAAGGATACTGTTGTCGATTCTAACTGACGTTTCGCTATTTAATGCTCCTGCTGCTGCTAATAGCTTTATCATCAATGGAATAATATCAAACCAGAAGAATTTACACTATCTTAGTTTATAGACACGTAACAACTTAATCATGGTTCTGTTTGCGTTGTTGTCAAGTTGGCCAATTCGTGAAGTTAACAAACCCATGTGTAGATTGTTGGATTTGATAAGTGTGTGTATACATAATGAAATTGCTTATCACATTCGTGTTGATTTTGTCATTTCATGCGAGAAACCCGTGGTGTTGTAACCAGGTCAAATTCTTTTTTAGTCCATCAATCCAGTTCAATTCAGACAATTAGGATCCCATTTAATGAGAAGTGCTTTTGACGATATGAGACATTATTTGTGATTTATGAAGCTATTTCTGGATGATGATTTCAATATTGTCAAATTCAATTTTATGACCTGATTGTATGATGATCTTTCAAGCTTTTCTAGTTCATTAACTGGATTTATTTCTCGGTGGTCGGACAGGTGAGGCTCTACGGTGTTCTTTTCTTCTGATTACCTTGATTTCTCTCTAGTGATGTTTGCCCGATTTCTATCGCATCACATTCCAATTCTGGTTTAATTCTGATTTAATATTCCTACTTTGATAAAGCTATAAGCATTAAATTGCGAAACGTCAGTTAGAAACGACAACATATCGTTTTGGCTTTTTCATTCACTGGGAAATACAAAAAAACCTTTATTATAATGAATATCATATACCAGCCAATGCCCAAATTTGTTCAAACTGTTAAAAATGAACTTGTTTTAAATATATATAAGTGTTTTAATGGTTGAAATTTTATTGATGAAATATATGTATGTCTGGACTTTTTGATTTTCAATTTGTGTTTATTACACATTCACTTAGTTACATAAAGCTCTCATTTCTCTGGTGGTTTTTTTGACCAGGAAGTTGTAGAATATTTGTGTAACTGGTGTTTACTTTCGAACACTGAATCTGTGGATATATTCTTGTTGACTATTAATACGTATAACTAACTGTTTACCATTTTGTGACTGTTTAACGCTAACTAATATCAATAATTGTACGTATTATTGGATTGATATGCCCAAGTCGGCCGAAGTTAGTGACTCTATGGTTCACGTGTTATTTTTGGTAATTGTATGTAACAGTGACATTACTGCTGAGGCTTTTGTTGTTGTTGTCGCTGCCGCCTTTCCTGCTGTGATGTCTTTTGCTGTTACCGCTCTGATTGCTTTATTTCTTATTTTCCTGATTCTAAGGGGAACAACCCAAAATGTCGCTCCTCTGTAACTCACGCATATATGTAACAACCTCCTCCTCGAGCGTAAGGCTAGCAACCTCACCCTATAAGCAAAACTGTTACAGAAACTTCAGCTCGAATGAGTCTCCTTGTCACGACAGAAGAAGTATGCATTGGGACATGGAATGTCCGCATAATGCATGAGACTGGCAAAGTTGCCCAGATTGCAAATGAGATGAAGAGATATGGTATTCAAGTACTGGGAATATGTGGAAACATATGGAATGGGAGTGGACTCACCAAATTGTCAATGGGAGAGTCAGTGATCTACTCCGGTCACCCAGAATACAACCACGAGCACACCGAGGATGTGGCTATCATGATGTCACCAACGGCAGCTAAGGCCCTCATACAATAGGAGGCAATCTTGGCCAGGATAATGAGACACCGCCAGATTCAACTCAAAAGGGAGGAGAGTGACAATTATACAATGCTATGCACCCACAAACAACGCAGACCTCGAAAAGAAAGAAGATTTCTACAAACAACTACAGGCAACAATCGACGATACTGCAGTCGGTGGCATTAAAATCCGGATGGGAAAAATTAATGCCAAACTGGGACCAGACAACACAGGAAGGGAACTCATCATGGGTAGAGAAGCACTTCGGGAGATGAATGAAAACGAAAAACTCTTCGCTGACGTCTGTGACTTCAATGAACTAGTGATTGGTGCCAGCGTATACAAGCACAGGGATATCCACAAGACTATATGGATGTCATCAGACGGGGTAACCAAAGCCAAATTGACTTCATCTCAATGCTGCTCAAGGAAGTGCAGACGCAGCTTACTGAACACAAAAGTGAGAAGAGGAGCGGACGTTGGCTTAGGAAAACTATCTCGTACAAGGAACACTCCTAATCAAATTAAAAACTTTCAAGGAAACAGAAATTGCAGATAGATCACAAGCCAAGTGCAATACTCAAAAACTGAAGCATCAGGATACAAAGGATATATTCACTGCAATCATAAGGAAAAAGGCGGAGACACAAATCAACACTAGCGAAGAGACCACTGTTGAAAAACACTGGAACAGCCTGAAAGCGGTGTGAAGTCAAATCTGCTTGGAAGTTCTAGGCAGAAAGCAGAGACACGACAAACAGTTGCTCACTACGGACACTTGGAGACTAATAGAAGAGAGGAAGATGGTGAAACAAAAAATTATCCAGTGCATCAATGAGCAACAAAAACAGGAGTTGAATGCAAGCTACAATACGCTGTACAAAAGAGTAAAGAAAAGTGCCAGGGAAGACGAAATACAATATTATGAAGCTATGGCAAGTGAAGCAGAAGAAGCTGCAGTACAGGCAAAGGAAACCTCGCAACACTTTACTAAACAACTAGGTTCTTATCGAGGAAAAGATCAACACAAATTAAACCATTGAAAGATGACGATGGAAAGCCAATCACCAAAGAGGTGGAACAAAGCAAACACTGAGCTGAACACTTCAAAAGACTACTTAATCCACCGCCACCTACAACGCATCCAATAATACCAACAGCGGAAGCAGAACTACCAGTGGATACCACCAACTCTCCGGTGAAAGGGGATTGGAGCAAAGACTACCTATTCAAACTGCTAAAGAAAGGAGACTTAAGTCAATGCAAGAACTAAAGCAGCATAGTGCTCCTGTCTATCCCAAGCAAAGTACTAAGCGGCATCATCCCGGAGAAAATCAAACACGTCCTGGAGGAAAAACTTCAACCGAAACAAGCTGTATTCAAAAGAAACAAGTCACGCATCGATGAAATCGCAACACTACAGATCATCATTGAACACAACTTGTAATGTCAGTCAACCTCTACCACTACCCCAAATTCATCGACTTTGAAAAAGTCTTCAGCAGACGGAGTCGATCGAGAGGTGATTCGGAAACTACTTCGCTACTACCAGGTGCCAACAATTTTACACCTCATCCAATAGTTGTTCGACAATGCTGCATGCCAAGTAATTCACAACGGGAAACTCATCGAATCTTTCTGAGTCAAGACAGGAGTAAGACAAGTTAGCTGCCTACTACTATCTCCAATGATTTTCCTGATTGCAGTAGACTGGATAGTGCGAGACAGCGGGCAACGAGGGGAGAGGCATAAAATGGACCCACACAAAAATTACTTGAGGGATCTGGATTTAGCCGATGTGATATATGTCTGATTTCCCACAAACTGGAAGATATGCAAGTGGAAAGCAACAAGTTGACAGAAGAAGCATCCAGAGAAGACAGGACTTCCGTCAGATGAACATAGAGAAAACAGATGTGGTGATGATGAAGATTCCTGCCTGCGACCTTAAATGCACCAATCACATGAAGGCGGGATTTTTGCGTATGGAAAACATATATACTTATGAAAAAGAAAATGCATGAAAAATGCATAGAAACTGTATATAAAAGTGTTACAGAGCATACCTTTCCCTCACATGTGATAAGAACATCTCCCAGTGTAGCAAAAGAGTATCAATGGAGAAGTTACACCACATCCTATATTCATCTAAATGATTTTTAACGACATCGCTTTGCGATAACTTAATGACTCTAATCCGGTTTTCAACCTTCCCCGAAAGCCTTCGATAGGATTGGCATGGGTCCCTATAATGGGATCCACGAAATTATTAGAATGGCTAACTCTGTGGTGAATATGTCCAAGGATTGTCATCATGAGCTAACATCAGTTGGTTAGAGAGCCATTGGAAAACCAGCTGGGAGTACTGGAAAGCTGTTTCCTTCGTCCTAGTTTGGGACTCTTCAGCAGTACGCACCCACCGGGGTTTGAGCCCAGGACCTTCTGGTAACAGGGAGAGCTAGGTCGTAGGCCATTAAACAGCCACTCACTGGGAGCCGATCCTATGGTCAGCCAGTCAACCAGCCAATGAATTCTAACTTCCACCAATTCACTCCATTATGGATAAGCTTGTATTTTGATAAATCACACAGTGTTATACAGTAATATCAGTTAATATTAGTTCACTCTACTGTAACAGCAGAAGGCAAGACATGGAAACCACGGTATATTTTCAGTCGATCAAACAGTTATTTATATCTGTGCAGTTTATATTCTGTAATCAGTCACTGAGCCAGCGTGTGATTTTGGTTTACATTAAATGACATGAAATAGGATATTCAAATATACATGTATTATTCTGTTCCTAAAGTAGTATTGAACTCTGGGAGTAGTATTCACACTTTAACACCAACAAATACAATGATTCTTACTTTGAGAACAATATTCCGCTGGGACCTATTGTCTGTATCACACAACCACACTCGTCCCCCAGTCAAATACTTGAGACTGAAGTCGGCTCGATCTTCTTGTTGCTGGCGTCTTTGTTTCCTTGTATTGCTGTATCTATTCCTGGGGCTCGCTGATGTCCACCCTATTCTCATTTTTTCCATTTCTGATCGTATATACGTGACGCCGTCTCGCGGTGTATGGTCCTTCCCACACTGGAAGCAGTTTGCGTTACCCTGGCTGGCTGGCGCGTATTCACCGGTGTTTCGCCTCACACTAACATATTCTGCCTTCGCCCGACCTCTCAGCAGTAGCCTCTTCGCTGAAGGATCATGAACGCCATTCAACTCCGCAACAGCCTCGAAGTCCTACAAGAATTCAATGCTGACAGTGCCCTTCCTTATTTATATTAGAAGTGTAACTTTCAGCTTGTCACATAAAAAATCTGTTTCTTTCGGGTAATTGAGTTCGATAAACCCAAGGAATGTTGGAAAGCTAAACTACACACCTCTCGAATTGTATCCTCCTTTGTGTTCTCCCTCTGCTAACCATGCTGGAGACTGTTCCCGAGCTAGTTTTACAACCAAACGCATGGTACGGCCAATATATTTGGCTCCACATGAGTAAGTGAACTTGTATATGCATGTTGAAGTGGCCAAATGCGACAGCTTGTCTTTCACGTGCTGGATGAGTAGTTTCGTGCAGGAGAATGTTACTAGTAGACTGGTGGTGTTTCACTGCGAAACTTTGAAAGCCGTCTACGGAGAAATTCTGCTTCGGTATCACTTTTAAATTTGAGGCTCAGTATCAGCATCTTTTTGGAGACAACTTGGAGCTTTTCAGGTGTTTTCTTTGGTTTTAGATTCTTGTCAATGAATCTGGGTGGAAACCCATTTTCTATCAAGGTCCCTCAAAGATTTTGCAATTCTTCATCGACTGACGTCTCAGTGGAAATCTTCCGGATCCTCAAGGAAAGAGAGTATATTAGGTTTCTCTTTCTGCTTAAAGGCACACAACTTTAAAAGCTGATAAACTGTCCGTTCCATGTTTGCTTTTTGTAGATGGATCTTCTTAGCGAGTTGTCTGCATTCCTTAGTAGTGTAACATCAAGGAAATGAAACAGTGAATTAAACTTAACTTCCAGAGTGAAGTATATGTTTGTGTGGTTGTTACTGAAGATTTGAAGTATGTCTTTTAGAACACAATTCTCATCACAAATAATGAAAGTATGCATCGATGTATCTCTTCTGGAGATGGACGTCGTCGATAGTTGATGATGAGGAGTTGTTTTCTAGGCTAGCCATAAAGCAGTCGATCAGGAGGGATCCTAGAGTAGAACCCATTGCTACTCCAGCTACTTGCCTGTATAATTTGTTGTTGAAACTAAAGTAGACGTTAAAGGTGTATTGTAGTAACAACTCTTTTAGGTAATGGATCGGTATACCGACATCGATGCTATTGGATTGAATGAAGTCAGAAAGGAGTGATACGGTTTCTGTAAATGGGACGTTGGAGAAGACAAAGAGAGACTATACTGAAGGAGAACTCTCGAATTCGGAAGCGTATATTCACACCACGTGTTTGGAATGATGATTTTTTTCTACCTCCCTTAAGTAGACTAGTGTGCCTATCACTCCGGTTGCCAAGCATCAGACGTTCATGTTCATCCTCCACGTTTGTAGTTGGTGTATAGGAATCTGAGCATGTGACTACGTAACAGCATTTGAAGTCCACCTACTCTTGTTTGTACCAGGTTAATTTATGCGGTATTCCATCCAGTCAGGAGTATAAAAATCAATGCCCATTCACGTTCCCCACTGTGTGCATATCTGTACGTTTGAATTCGTTATTAGACTAACTGGTTCGCATTCTTTGTGTATTGTTCTTTTTTTAACTTCCATAATTCTCTTATAGTTTCTTTTATTCTACTCATGTGTTCTAGGAACTGCTGAAGGAATTACCCAATGCTCCCGGTGGTATACTTTATGTAATCAGCACTGAAGTAAGTTGTGAACTAAACTATTTATTCTCTTCAAGTATTGATTTTGTTAGAGGGATTTTGTTTGATTGGTTGGTTGGTTGGAGGATTTCATCGTGAGCACTGACATCGGTTGGTGGTTAGAGAAGTATTGGAAAACCAGCCACTGGGAGTACTGCCAGACAGCCAACTGTTTCTTCCGTCCTAGTACTTGTGCTGAACTGACTCTTCAGCAGTACGCACCCATCCCACTGCCAGGGTTCGAAACCAGAATTGATTTCTGATTATTCTGACCTCGATTTTGATGCAGTTGTGTTCTCTGAGTTGAATAGTTTATTTGCAAAGCATCCAAAGAACGTTAAACAGACTTACCAAGACAGGTCAGATCACAAAACAAGACCAATGGCGAATGAAATCCAATAGACCAGTCCTACTGTGATTCTACGGCAGACACAAAATGCACAAGCCAAATATCTCTTTACGACCAATTGTATCACTCCCAGGAACCCCAACATACAATTTATCCAAAGAATTATACAGAAAATTGAAACACCTAACGGATTCCTGCGATCACTCCATCAATTCTGCAATCCAATTTCTAGAGAAAATCAGAGGCATCCAAATAGATGATCAAGAAATAATAGTATCCTTCGATGTCACAGCATTATATACCTCAATTGGACAGAAACTAGCAAAAGAGACCATGGAGCAACTACTCAGCAACGACGAACACCTCCCACAACAATCAAAAATGCAACACAACAAAAGTTGGATGGAATACATAAACCCCACGCCTAACAACGTACTTCCAATTCAACGACCAAATATATGAGCAAGTTAAAGTAACACCCATGGGATCGCGAGTATCAGGTTTGATTGCAGAAGAAAAACCTCGGAAACATAGTCCTACCAAAGATCACACCCAAAATTTAGATACGTTACGTAAATGACACATTTGTAATAATCATAAGAAACGAGTTGGATAAAACTCACAACTTAATAAACAACATTTTCAACGACATCAAATTCACAAAAGAAGAAGAATCCGGGAACAAACAACCACAGGAAAATTAGAAACTTAAGTTTATAGAAAATCAACTCACACAGACCAAATACTTAATATTAACAACCGCAACAATCCAATATCACACAAAAGGAGTTGTATACCAACGCTAGTCAAGAGGGCTAGCCAGTTAGGACTCATTGCAGCCCTCCCACCTTAAGGAAAATTGAAGAAAGATATCTCATGGACGTCTTCCGAAAAGAATGGATACCTACGGAATTTCATCAAAAGACATACACCTCCAATCCAACCAACCGACCTAAATCAAAGGCCTTCGTGGAAAGCACAAAGAAAATTACCCTACCATATATATATATATATATAAGGCGACATCTCAGAAATAACTGCAAGACTCTTCAAACCTTGATGAGGAATTGGTGTCACACACAAACCAACAAAATCACTTCATTACTCAGCTGGATCTGTGTCAACTAAAAGACAGACTCACCAGCGAAAGAAGATAAAACCAACATCTGAATCTACAAAATAATTTGTAACAACTGCGAAAAACATTACATTGGCCAAAGTGGATGCCCCTCCTCTTCGTCTTCGTATCCATGATCACAAACTTGCCGTCAAAAGACATGACATCCACTGCCTCAGTCTGTCATATCGCCTCACTGCATGCAGACAACAACCATGGACATCATTTCGACTGCGATAACCAGCTTTGAAACAGTATTAAACAGAGGAAACAACACCGAGAATGCTAGAGAATTTTTAGAAGCCTGTCTGGTATTTCAGTGAATTCTCAATCAATAGACACATCGACAGAGACAAAATTTACCAATCGATAAGGATGAAATCTCACACACAAAGACTCAAAGTTCAAGTCAAAGAAACAATCAGTTCCAATACAAGTAGCCTAGAGGGTGTGAAAAAACACAAAACAACTAATCACGTTCAAGATGACCAGGAGATATGACTAATGAACTCGTGGAGAAATCTAAAAGCTCACTTCAATAGAAATTGAAGTATGAGCTGAAGATGTTGCTTAGTAGGATTGTGATGAAAGCTTCGTAAATAAACCCTCCAGCTCAGAGAACACAACTACATCAAAATCATCCACCTGAGCTGCAAATCTTCTCCATCATATTTATTCTGATTTTGGAACATGGCGATTTCCGTTGCATATTAATTGAAATGCCGCCAATGTACACAGCTAAAGATTTTTATCTGTATGTATATATCTGGTTCAAGTTGAATGCGATTAATCTTGGTTTTCTGATAAACTAAAGAAAATCAAAACGAGTGGTGATTCAGTCAGCGAAGAGACTCTTTTCAACAACGAATTTATTATCAAATTGTACAATCGTATATTATTATATATATATATAGTTGTTTTCAGGGAATTATATCCGGTGAGGGAGGTAATCGAATCATACATGTGAATACATGGAATAATAATAATAGTATGAAATGCAATTAAAATGTTTGAGACCGGGCACTTCGGTCCAATCAATCAACGGGAAAATGTAAAATTGATTGAATTAAATAATTAATATGACCCGTTGCATTGGAGGCGGAATGGCTCTCTTGTGGCGCAAGTGGTCTAGTGGATAACGCTTTGACTGGTGTTTGAAACTATGGGCACTGGGTTCGGGCCTCTGTGGTGGAAACATACATCACCACTTACTGCTTGGGGAATGCAGGTACATCCACTAGCTGGCGGACGAGCCAGTCCCGAATAGGACGAAATGCGTGTTATCCTGGATGGATTCCACTGCTAGTCAGTCACCATCCACCAATTAACTTCTAAAATGTTTGTGATTATAATCATAGTTCAATGTGAAGTGGCGAAACAATTAATTTCATATATAGAACTTGGAAGGAGTGTGAAGTTATAAGATTAGTAGGTGAACAGAATAAAAATGAGAACGTTACGTAACATTGTGTGAAATTTTTGATAACATAGAATTTAACGTTCCAAAACAAAAGTGATTTAGAATGACAAGTGGAACGAGTGAAATTATACCGGGGACAATTCAAAGTGAGAATAGTAATCGTAACTAACAATTGACACGTAAGAAAGGAAGAGTATACAAACTGAATAAACAAAACGGAAAGCCTCAGCAATACGGATGAGTCGGATGGTACGTAGTGATTTGGGCAAATTACTTTTCGCCTTGTAGATAGATGAATTCCAAGGCGGAGGCTGTGGAGATCATTAGGTGATCATTATCGACCAGATGTTGAATGATCGCGCTTCTTAATGCTCCACTTCCACCTCTTCGTAACTACCATGCAGAATAGTGTTATTGCACCCTCCTGGACAAAACTCGAGTCGAACGACCAATATACCTAAAGCCACACAAGCAGGTGAATTGATAGACGCACACATAGAGTTGGTCAACTGTAGGATCTTGTCCTTCAAGAGGAGGTTATTGAACAGTAACGGTCGACTGGTAAAGGCTATTCTCAACGATGCAGTAGGGAATATCTTTTTAACAGGGACTGTGAGATCCTTTTTTGAGTGATAGTATCGGCAGCTAAGTCAGTCATCACTTTTGAATTCCAACCCTGATGTATCTGATTGTATATCATGATACCTTTAGCGAGTAATTTGTTAATTGATGTTAAATTTCTTTAATTTCTAATTCATTCTTTAGATTGGTGATGGTCCAGAGGTGATTTCTTTCGTTGAAGATGCTTAAAAGATATAGTCATTTATATCTCTGTGTATATTCAATCAGTGTATTTTTGTGATAATTGGTGATAATATCAATAATTAGGTATCTTTATTTACTGAACTGATCTTCTGATTATATTTGTAGTGCTTCCTATTTTGAAAATATAAACTCATCTTTCCAAATTTCTCTTTATATTTGTAAAATTTCGATGAAATTGAAGTGAGTAATTCCAACATCATCTGAACTGGTGACAACTAGTGGTGTCCGTCATGGATGCTGACTATCCCCATTTCTGTTTAATTTCACCATAGATATCGTACTAATGAACTTAACCCTATGTTGAAACCAGTCAGTCAGTCAATTCTAACGTTCCCTGCGTTCAAGCAAACTGGTGTCCGGAACATCTTCAGGGAGATTAATCGAAATCAATATGACAGAGGTTTATATTTATACAGAAAGAACATCTCTTGTATGCAAAAAAACTGTCCAATCATCATGAGTCATGAAACAACAATCACCAAAATGCATAATAAACAAACAAAATTGTCTGAGCTGTGATCTAAATTTCACCTCAGACTTCTTACAAATATTAGTCTAGTCCTAAAACAATTAGCTCCCTTTATGAAGTTAGTTAGTTAGACACAGAGCAATAAGAAGACGTAGTTTTGTCTGAATCGTGTATTGTGTATGTATTTGCGTGCAACACTTATTTCGAACAATCTGAACCATCACACACACACACGGACTTGTCGTAGGAGTAGACAGGTATATATGAAATTAATCAAGAGTTAAGAGGTGAGAAAATAGACTAGTTAAAAAGACATGTTGCAGTTCGAAATAACAGTGAAGATCACTAAACCAAAGAAGAGAGGTATCAAAACAAAGTTTACCGAGGACAGTTTGTGCTTTGATCTCATGAAGATGGTTTAAACTTTCTAACTGCCAGCTAGGGCTTCCACAAACTTTAGGATATGCCCTCCCACAAACAGGTTTTGTAGATAGGCCTTTAAAAGATGTGTAAACATCAATTTTATGTCCTGTCTCCACTGTAATATGTTTTGCAATATAGGACCAAGGTCCCCAGTTCTGGGGATTCCATTTGCTTCTGAAGCCATTTAGAATATGCTCTGAAGTCAACCCTTACTTGCAGAGATCAACGAGTCCTCCCTTCTATGTATGTATGTGTGTCCACACCTACATTCAAATTGGTAAATACAGTGGGGGCGGATGTGACATCAGTTTTCGCCTGTTCAAAGGGCCTAGATGGATGGATATATTGGCTTCACATTCTCATGTATTATTATGATAATAGCTGCATAAAAGTCTTTTTAACTGCAACAGCGTTCAATCTTCGTCTAATTGTCAAGCTGCTATGATCCCCCACCCCGCCAATATAGGGTAGCTATGTGTAAACCTCTTTGTTGGCAGAGGCGAGTTGGAGAATGGGTTTTGGTGTTCCACTGACTACTTTATATCATCTGCTGATGAACTTGTCTGGATAACTGTCATCAACCAGAGTTTGTGCCAACTTTCTTTCTTCCTCATCATCAAGTGTGTCTTCAGTCTACTTTTGTTAAACACTGCAGACGGAGTGTACTTTTCATCCGAATCTCAGTGGTTACGTTCGACTAAGAGTTCATGGTCGTAGATAACTGAATATGAAGGATATATATGTGTATATGCGGTACACAATGGAGTGTATGTATGGGTAAACAGTTGTAAAACATTTGTTAACCTCTCCATAAGAAGATATAGACAATCGGGAATCTTAGACCAAATATGATTAATTAGTGATATATATCCATTTTTTTAGTTTATTAATCAGGATTTGACATGTATCAGCCTACAAGATCACACCTTCACGTCTGTTCAAACTGTTGAGATTCACCCATATATGTAGGACTTCTGCAGTCAGTCTTTCTTTATACCAACCAAAACCTTTCTGTAGAACCTTAGTACAATCACTAAAGTCGATTTTGTGTCCAGTTTCTATTGTATGCAGTGCAATCGCTGATCTGTTTTCTAGCTTCTTCAAGTCTGCAGAGGTCTTTAGAACCACCTTTAGACATTGTTTATGCTCTTTCACTCTTATATTTATTTATCTGGCTGGAAGTTTCTCCTACATATACGGTGTCACAGTCCCCAGAATTGATCTGGTACACACAATTCTGTTGGTTTTATTCTTCTATTTTATCCTTAACCTTCACCAGTGATGAGTGTAAGGTATTAGATGCACGAAAATGCACTCTAATGTCATGATTGTTAAGGATTCGCTTTATCTCATCCGATGTTTCTTTGCGGTAAGGAATCACCAGTATCGCACTAACCCAATTCTTAGAAACAGGCTTCGATCCATCCTTATCTTCACATTTCAAATATCTTTTCATGAAGGCTTTAGGATAATTATTTGATTCAAGAGTGGATTGAACCAATTTTAGTTCCCTCCTTGCTGATCTCTTCTCACTCAGTAACTAGACATTTGGCTCTGTTAATCAGATTCTTGGCCACAGTTACTTTGGTGGTAAATGAGTGTGCTGAATAGTAAGCAGTCTAGGTATCTGTCCGAATTAGTCGGTTTTCTGAAAATGTTTATTTTTCAAGTTAACCATCTGGTTTTCTTTTTACTAAACAGTCCAGGAATGCCAAATCATTCTCGTTGAATGAATGTTTTCACTAATTAAACAATATATCAGAAACCATCGATTCCTCCAAAGAGGTTGAATCCGACGAGAATGACCAAATAATAATAATGATGATATGTTGTAAGTATACACCACATCATCATTATTATTTTGCAATCAATATTATTATTGTCGTCGTTATTTTCAACCTTGAACTTATGTCTAGTCCACCTCATTCCTTCGTTTATTCTCTGTAGTATTCACAATGTCCACCTCACACACCATTGATTACATTCACTCTCGAAACCTGTACTCCTGTTGATTATATTTGTAGATATATTTATACACAGACACACATCAATAAATTACTATTTCATCTCATCTCATTTTATCTCATGTTCTCATTGACCATGCATATTCAGGAGCTAACTGACTGTTGTTCCATCCCATCTCACTGATACTTGTTCCACAATACACATTTCTGATATGATTGTAATATGCCTTTACTGGCTGTCTGGCTATTGTATGGTAAGAATGAATGAATTTATAATTGTGGAGCCTGAAGAAGACGGTGAATTTATTGAAAGCGACAATTGCTCACTCTAGTTATTTTCTTCTAATAATGATAACATAAATAAGAAAGAATATAAGGCATCTACAGTAGTTTTACCATATCAGGAGGAAGAGGACATCTGACACCCTCCCCACGTAGTAGGATTCTCAGTAAAGCAGGAGTTAGGGTGGTGGTGGCATTCAAACATACAAACTCATTCACTCAGATAGGACAAGCTCTGTAGGTGGGTTGAAGGACCCTGTAGGTTGACCCAATCAGAAAAATAATATAATTTGCAAAATACCTTGCAATGACTGTGAGTTAGGTCAACTACCTACATCGGTGAGTGAAACTAGTAGATCAGGCAGGAGTAGCCAGATTGCCTGTCAGAACATATAAATTCAGCTAAGGTTAGAATGGTTGATCCCACCCATGCAGATAAGTAATTCAGAACAAATAACTCAGCACCACATTGCACTACATGCATTAACAGGCAACTACACTATAGGGTGTGAGGGAGAGGTCCAAATCCTAAGACGTGAAATACGTACGTGGAGATAGAGAGAGATGGATTACTTACTGAATCTTTGTTCATAGAATAATCTACACTCAACACGTGCAATAGGAATGGCTAGTCAATCCTGCTGGAAATATGGAAAATACTACTACGACTACCAATCAAGTCAAGCGATGAAAAATAATGGAATTATATAAGCGAAGTTGAAAAGTTGTGTGAGTAGTACCTTGATATGATTATGAGTGGTAGCAATGATATATTGTGCTCCAAGCGTGTGGTCATCAGTAAATATTACTGTATAATAAGCACTGTGAGACTTTATCAAACGAAATTTTACCGACAATGGAATTATACTCTACCACAGTGCACAAGTTTCATTCTTGTAACAGTCAAAAAGGTACTGACAGCGCTTGCGTATATATTTATGTTGAAAGTGCCCTTGGGAAGCACTAATGTCATTGATATTTCAAGACAGTGGACAACCAATACGATTTCAAAGGTCATGAGTAGGGCGAGAGAAAATCAGGTCATAAATCAATAAGTGTGTGGGGTGAGAGAAGTACAAACAGACAAATAGATAATTAGGTCTCTATGTCAGATATGGAGTTTAGGATTCCAGACAAACTATTCAATAGGTTATTATTGAATTTGTTTGTAATAAAAACATTTGTTATTTTCCTTACAAACTCGGATGACGAATGTTCTACACCAGTTTTACAGAAGTATTGACGATCCCTACTAGTTAAGTAATATCCTAGTTGAATTTAGTCAAAACACCTTGTCAGGATTCTTAAAAACTCCTGGGCTCAAATTGTAACACATTCTGTCTTGTCTTAATTTTATTCACTTGACCGATGTCCATTTCCCACTTTCTCAGTAAAGGAGTATCTGTAGTCCATATGAACAGGTCAGTGGTTCAGACTTCTCTTCTCAATTACCAAGGTTCCTTCCTCATTTCCACAAGTCATCTCGATTACAATAGCCTTCCTACTACTTGTCTTCTCAACAATTCTAAACAACTGGCAGGTATTACCTCACACTGACGCCTCCCACATTTCCTCCCACTCTTCAGCTACCACTCAATGCAGTCATTATGAAAGCTGATAATTAGGTTGCATATAATTTATTTATAATAAATGACGGTTTTCAGTTCGATGACATGGATTTCTGTTGACAGGCATGATTCTCCGACTAAAGTAGGGCCAAGTGATACTTTAAGCACCACTAACTACCAATCAGCGAATGACATCGAATGGTCCAATGAGTTTCACCCATGTGAGGGAAGGTTCTCCTCATAGGGATATTTCATTCATATAAGAATGGAACTTATTCA